AGAGAGAATATGTATGTTCTTTACACATGTAACAGCTATATAACTTGATCAAAAACAAAAGTTCAAAAATTTTAATGGAATCTGGTCCAAGAGGAAGAAAATAAAGATAAAAATCAGAGCATTATCTCATCAGTCATTCATGCATAACATTTCTAGTTGAACATAAGGATATACAATGATTGCTAATACAATCTTTAGGACTCTCTTATGTAAATACCAATAAATACCATATCATTTGGTTTATTCTTACAACTTGAATGCTGCCCAAACACCAGTGAGAACTGCTTTCATTTCAGAATGATATTCACTGTTTTAACATAGGGAAAGTTGATCTGTGGCACACTTCACATAATTTTCCTTAAAATCTAGTTAAGTAATATGTCTTTTTATACAAACTTGTACTAAAAGACAATGCAGATGTTTGCAAGTTCAGTTTATGATGTTCCAACAGTCTAATTACAGAACTGCAAGGGCTTAGTAGCATATGCTCTGCAATACCCCATGAAGTTACAAAAATTTAAGTGATAGTTAAACAGCACTGATAACATTTTATCCATTTTATATTATATTAACATCAGATAAATTTATTATTTGTTTAAAAGGTAAAAAAAAAAAAACAAAACAGAAAGAAAATGTTCACTGTTAAAATCTTCAGTACTGATTCATGTTGACCGAATTTTGGCTCCATAAAATCTAAACTCTATGCTAATTCAGTGGCAGAACAGTAAATTCAAAATTATGCTTGCTTCTGGAAAGCCTACTTTAGGACTCACATCCTAATATCTATTCATAATTTCTTTCAGCATTATTACCCACAAAATTGAAAACAATAAAAAGTGCTATTAGTAACTAACAGGAAAGTCAATGGGAAATAGATGAGTTGTTTGGTTTAAAAATTGTTACCTTTTTTGAGATAAGCCATTATTTGAGTCCAGTAATTGTTCTTATGTAATATTTTCAAGTAGTTTACATAAAAATGTAAAAAATCAGGGTCCAGCAATGCTGGTTCTCAGGTGACTACAACTATGCCTTTGGTTGGGCCTGTAGCTATTTGCTTCAATCAAGGAGGAGTCTCAGAAAAACTCATCTATCTTCAGGAATAAGAATTATTGTGAGATATCAAATAGCAATGAGATATTTTTTTAAAAGAACTTCATTATAGTTTTTGCACTATTTCATCATTTCTCTTGGAAGAGAAAGCACAGAAAGCAAAGGTATTGTGCTCTATCACACATTTCTACCCCTAAGTATGTAAGATGTCTTCTTCCCCCTTCCACATGCTCTTTTCAACAAAGAACTCAGTAAAAGCCAAGGTTTCTAATGTTTAATCAAAAAGGAACATTTAATGAGGCATTCTTTCCATTATCAAAATACCCATTTTGTCTCAATTTGAGACAATCATTTGAGAAGCACTAAAAATAAGCAATATTGCTTCCCTACATATTTGACATTCCTTAAAAACTTCCCAATAAAAGACAGACAGCCTTGGCAGTTGCTCCCTTTTCAGTGATTAGTATCAACAACACAATATTGCTTGACAACTAAGTTACTTATCCTTTAGCTTAAAAGAACTCTTTCTTTGCACCTTAGCACTATGTAAAATTACTGGCCATGCCACTATGGAGTTTCCTAACAGTGCACATGGAAGTCTTTCTCAAGGTAAGAATGTCCTCAAGACGTTTTCCTATTTTGGTTTTATGTGAAAGTTTGCCTCACTGTCTGTTGGTCACTCATCTTCCATGGCTGCTGCTCAGGTCTCAGTCAGCACATGATTATTTCACCATCTTCTATGTTATCTGGTTTTGTGTGCACATGAATTGAGTACATTTATTGTGAATCGAATATAGGCCTATCCATTTCATAATTAACAATGTGCATTTATACTTTACTATGACTGTATCACTGAAGAAAACAGCTCAATGCACGTACAATCAGAGTAGACTTGAGAGCAATTGTTTGCAAAGACCAGGTTTATTTTTTAGGGTATCATTATCCACTTTTTTCCTCTTCTTTGAGTAAGGCATAGAGTCAGGAGGATATAACAATTCAGGCTGAGGATCATTTTGTTTGCTTGAGGGGTGTTTTGAGGCTTTTTCCTTGGGGGTAATTTCAAGCATTGAATTGAAAAATTATTACTGATTTTGTGAAAATATTTTGCTGTTCTAAAACAGCATTAGATTAGACAAGTGTTGGCTTTTTTTTTTGTTTGGGTTTTTTTTTGTTTTTTTTACAGGCTTGAGATACAGATAGAAAAATAGCTAGGATAAGATAAACCAGTAGTGTTACACACACAGGTTTATCTAAAGCATCTGTCCTTCAGATGTCCTTATATATGTTGAGCCATCATTAATAGTAAGCAGCTGTGTGCTTGAAGGAAGCAGCAAAAGTTAACTGTTTTATCCATAGGAAAAAGGTTACCCATGACAAATAGTTATGTCCAGTGAAATACTCTGTCTACACACACACATCCCCCTGCTTACCACAACAGCGAGTTGGCTTAGAGAAGTGACAAGACTGAAATTCCAGTACTGCAGCAACTGCAGAAGTGCAATGCAAGTCCAAGAACACAGTCTGTGATAACAAAACAATATTGACATTACTGAACTCTGTCTTGGATGATCACTGGGATAATATCAACCAAGTGCATGAGTGTATGATTATTAAAAGTGGTGGGGTATATTATGGGGAAAGTAACTCTTATTTTCTGTAAAGTACATAAAAAAATTGAAGGTGTTACTGTTGGACAGTTGGCCTGATGTTTCTCGTCTCTGTCATGACTCCTCATTTGTCCTCTAATATTACCAGCTATGTTTGTCCAGCTCCCCAAAATTCTGACTCTCCAAGACGAGCTTTCATTTTCCGATGACCCTACTATACTCTTGAAGAGGTATTTTTGGTTTGGTTTTCCTTGGAATGGTGGTATCTTTGTTTTTTAAAGAAAGTATGATTTGACTACTTTAATGCACCTTTTTCTTGGATATTTAGCTTGTATCAGTGACTCCAGTATTATCAGGAAGCAGATGGAACTTCTCTCCTGGTATCTTGCCATCCTGACAGAATGATGGATGTGAGCAATTGAAAAATCTTTATCTTATTCTACATTGCTCTTAGATGTTTTCTAGCTCCTACTTTGAAACTGACACATGGCACATGGCTTGGCATCGACTTTTTATGGTCCTTCCATGCTTTTTGTTTCCATCAGGTTGAATATTACACATACTCATTCAGAGTTTGTTACACATACATCTCAGTTTGTTTCTTACCTTTTTCTCTGTACTTAGACCTAGCACAGTTCTTACATACATACCAGAGCTTTGAGACTGCCATACGAAACAAAAAAGGCTTGTTTGGCTTGAACATACTAATCAAACCTTTCACATACATATGCTACTGTCTCCAACATTCCTTTCAATTTAGTGTATCATTTTCCTTCCAATGGGTAAATTGCTTTCTGATTGGTACCTATGGTAAAACAACTAGATTTGTAGATGAGGAGAGAGCAAGGGATGTAATGCTCAACTTCAGCAAGGCTTTCAACAATGGCTAACCCAGCATATTCTTGTATCTAGCTTGGGATATTATGGTCTTGATTGCTGGAGAGATTTAAAAAAAACAAAAAAGACTGACTAGATAAGGTGATTCACAGGTAAGAGGGCAGCTCCAGAGAGGTCTAATAGCAGACTGCAAGTACCTATGAGGAGGTATCAAGAGCACAAAGATAGACTCTTCACAGCAGCACATATGACAGGACGATGGGAAACAGATAATTTATGTCAAAATGAGAGATTCAGACAGGATGTAGAAAAAAGCACTTTCATCATAAGGACAGTCAGGCACCACAACGGGTTGCCCAGAGGCTGTGCCATCCTTGGGGGTTTTTAAAATCTAAATGGATAATGCCCTGAGCAATGTGATCTTCTCTCACAGCCAACCCTGTTTAGAACTAATGACTTCCTGCAATCCCTTCCAACCTGAATTATGGTCCTAAAACACCAAGAGCCCCATGTAAAGCGTAATTTTATTCACTTTTACTTTCCCATGCTTTCTAAACATACACTTAGATTGATGGTTATTAAGTACAATTTCTGCCATCCCGTTACAAAGTTCATATACCAAGTTCTATTATGTTGAATTAGAGACTGTGCTTATTATTTGGCAAAAATCTATGAGGCAATGTGGAATACGTTGTAGGTCACCATTAGTTTTCACAGTCCCTTGGAGAAACAGTAAAAATTAGAAAAGTGTGTAATGTAGGTTTCTGCATGTAGGCAGGAAGAAATACCTAGGAAAAACCCAAATGAGGTATCAAGTAATGGTTCTTCAGAGTAGTATTGGAAATTAACAACAAATCACAAATCAAATATGAATAAAGAAATTCTGCTAATATTAAAAAACATCAACAGTACATAGAAAACCACAGAGAAGCACAAACCAGAGATATAGCTCCTCAGACATGAAGAGCTGCTTAAACCCCTTTTCCTTCTAATTCATTCAAACTGTGAATTTGAAGTGAACTTCACTTCCCTACAAGGCAGAACCAAGCAGATACATGCAGGGCTTTCTTTTTTTGTATTATTTATTATTTAAAACTGCCCTGAAGAAATAAAGAATGTAATTGTTCCTTTAAACAGTTTTGACTACGTAAATACTAATGGAAATGTTACTTAAGAGTTCTTGTTAAGTTATTCGTTTTTCCTTTATATTTTTTATAGGACCTTCAAAATGACAAAATAAATTTAGTATTATAGCTGCTCATAAACCATTAAGAACAACAGAAATATCTTCTTTATAAATGGGAAGGTAGAAGGTCCTGAAAAATAATTCAGGTTTGAATGCGAGGAAGCAAATTTATGCAAATTGCTGTCAGTCATCTATGTATTCATTTCACTAGCAAAACAACATTATAAATTATCTCTAGCCAACAGTTCTTCATTTGAAGGCATGTGATGCAAATATTTATTCAAAACAGATAATCACTTAAGGATAAGCACAAGTCTTACCACGCCAATAGAAAAGTAGTTATTGATGATGTTGTAAGGCACTGGGTCTCCTTTCTCATCTTTATCATTGGGTATTACTTCGAATTTCCACCTGTCCAGTAAAATCTCTGAGCTATTCTCAATGTCTTTTAAGATCTTCATCAAATTCTCACCTTCATACCCTAGCAAAACATAAAACCAGTTATTTAATCAAGCATAATAAAGTTAAATCACATTTTCTTTCTCTTTCTAGATGGTTGGAGAGGATTCTAAGCAACTTGATCTAATTGAAGATGTCCCTGCTTATCGTAGGGAGGGTTGGACTAGTTAACTAACCTTTTAAGATTCCTTCCAACTCAAAATATTCTATGATTCTATGACTGGAAAAATGAAAGAAATGCATATAAGAGCTTAAAAGCAGGATTGTACTGGAAGTATTGACAATTTTCCAGCACTTGTCACTAAAAGAAGTATAAATACAAAGCTAATTATGCATGAACATTTAGAATAATTCTACAGATTTCAGTGAACACCAAATTTGTGATGAAGAAAATAATTAGGTCTTCAAAATTTGCCAATCTTTTGAATTTTCCAAATGATCCATAAAGCTAAATTATACTTTGCAAAATGTTCGTGATGAGAAATTAATCTTAATATTTAAATTTCATTGATTTCAAAATTTATGGAACAGAGACATATTGCTGTTTTGCCTGACAACACACTGAAAGCTTAAAAGCTATCTACTAATTTTCATTGATTGTTTCAACCTGGTTTAGCATAACAAATCCAAAATTTCAAATCCATAGCTGATAGGTTTATTAGCAAAAGCAACATTTTTGCTTATTTCAACAACCTTTTCATGAGCCTCATCCTGCTTTGTAGAGAGAACTTAGTTGCAATTAAGCACTCACATCATTCACTAAACTGAGTAGAAAACTTGTTTATGCACTCCTGAGTATATACAACACACACATGTGCATGAAGAAGAACTATGGGGGTTTTACTAAGAGGCATTATCAACTCTGAATATTATTCAGAACAAATTACTTTGTAACAGGTAGCAAAGATCTAGGGATTCAGTCCTTCTTCAAAGCAGAAAAAACAAGATTTCCTATTCAAGCAATATATACTGCCGGTGTTATTAACAGCTTTAGCAGGGCAAGTCACTCAAAAGTTTCCTTGCTCAAAACCCATTGCTGATGTATTTGTTTATGGTTTCCTAGCACAATTTTGCTAGTTACTGCTAACCACCACATGACAGCAGCATGCACAATTTCCATTTCTCTGCATCCTTGAGATCACTCACCAGCAATTTAGTTTCTAGAATCCCTGTTTCCTCCCTGTTTCATCTATGGAAGTTCCAGAAAATCTGTATTATGGTATTGTTTACCACAAAGCAACTGGGCAAAGAATGATGAAACCCAGATTATTTTCCTATTGTTTTTTCTACTTTAGTCCAAATGGAATTACTTAAGATACAGAACATAAATAAAAGTGAAGGTAGAGACAAGTCCCAACTAATGTAATTAAATGTTCTCATGGTTGACCCTCCTTAGAAAACCAGATTGGACTAGTGACTTCCTATGACCTCTTCCACTTATTCTATGGCTCTATGAACAATTCAGAAAGTTAAGTAAGGCTGATTTAAATGGGTTTTGTCTCATTTGTTTTCCTTTTTTCCCTGAAGACTATGAGAATGTAAACAATCAACAGTTGTGACAGAGAAAATAAAGGAGGTTCTGAAATGATTTGACAGAACATTATGGTTAATGAAGTGCTATAGCACGAAAACTACTGAGAAATTGCTAAAGACTATCTGGCAACAAGGCAGACATTTGGAAAGGAAACTGATGAGACAGAAGAAGTAAGATATCTGCAAAGGCTGAGAAGTTCCAAATAAAACAACCAAGTTCCAAATACAAAACATCTCAACTGAAACAACCAAGACCTGAAATAAGACCTGGCTACGAGCCCATAAACTGAGGTGCTTTCACCACAGACTGAATCTTGTCTAAGATTTTTTTCCTTGTGTCTCCTTCAAGTTATCCAGTAATACAGATTCTGAATAGAGCTTTTTTTGAGGAGCTGAGTGTAAGTCTCCATACATCCAGGAAAGGATGCAAAGGGTATTAAAGGTTTGATTTTCTAAATATTCTTCTTTCAGCATTCTTTGCCTTCTCATTTTCTGATAAAGAGTACCACAGCACTTATTGTCTGGAAACCTCTATAGGGAAACAGAAAGGCAGTGGATCAAAGGAACTAGTCCAAGGTTGAGACATGTTTTTCATTTAATATTTTTCAAGATTAAAAAAGATTAAACCACTCCGAACAAACTATTGGATGTTTTCAGTAACCCGTTCAAAACAGCCCCAATTAAAACCCATTACCTTTACATGGTATTGATCAAAGCAATAACTGGAACGCAGATGGTAAAAAGCCAACCAAACAGCTATACACTATTCTCATTGCACCTTGGAACGTTTTTGGTGTCAGCAGAAGCTACAAACAAGGTATGAAGTAAGATTGCAACCTTTAATATCTTACATACCTATACAACTATTACAAATAGGTAATTCCAAAAAGAAGAAAAGGTGATAATGGCTCTTTACAAAAACAAATCCAAATGTAGATGTTGATGTAAAAAGGTTGTTTTTTTTTTAATTCCATAAAAAATTGCATTTTCATTTGTGCTTACCTCCTCCCCATCTCAGACACCTTGCTAAATCATTGCCAGTCCCAAGAGGCAGGATAGCAACAGGAGGATGCTTAATCAAGTTTGCTTTCTCTGTGAATAAAGAAAGAAAAAAACACAACTAAGGAACAAAAATTATCTAACTGCATGGTATTATATAACTGTGTTAGTTTTTGTTTCAGAGAATGACTTGCTTTGTATACAAAATCATGCCATCTGCTCCACAATGAGCATTTCACCAAACCAGTCCATTTCGTAGCCCCTTCTCCACTCAATATTCAATCCTTAATCCTAATTTACTCATTTATTATAAGGATTTCGTAATCTTAGTTGACTCCTTTGTTATCATATGGACTTTGTAAATCATAGATATGAAAAACATTAATAAACAATGATACTCAAGATCTTTCCAAGACTGAATAAGGTGCTGTCACTCTAGTTCTCAGCTCTGCCATTCCCAGCTGTGAATACAGAAGAGTAATAGTTAAGGGCATGAATAATGAGGTGAATCTTCTACTTTTTCACCTGGGTGGCCAAATTTGTGTTAAGATGTGTATTCACCTGGATTTGTATCTACATCTGAGCACCACTGCCAAGAAGTCATTAGAATTAACACAAGACTTCAGCTAGGTTTGCCTGTCAGGAATTAAACCTGCTATTCAACAGGAGCACTGACCTGTCTGATCAAGTCTTTAAGCAGCACTTTTGTATTTATTAAACAATGTTTTGAAATGAATGAATTTATAGCATCTTTTCGGTCTTTACGGGTATTTTTGTAGCATTGTAAGCCCAAGGATCTTTTCAAGAGAAAGAGAAAACTCTTGTCAAGAAATACAGCCATTCTGAAAGCTGGAACATGTATATCAAATACATAATCTGTCAAATTTCCCATTTAATGTGAATGAACAGTATGTCTAGTTTAAAAGCTATACTTAAGCAGTGTTTTTCCTTATAGAATTATGCACAATTATCAGCAAGAGTTTATCTATACAATAAATGTGCAAGGAAATCTATATATATATCAATATTTTAGAAAGATTAATGGAAATCTTTCAGAGAATGTAATATTTAATGGAGTAATTTAAAAAGGTTTTAAAGTTTCCAACTGATGAGATTTTTATTCCTTTTGTTTATTTTTAATTTCTTTTCTTTTTGTTAGCTTTCTTTTTTCTTGCTGTGCTCTCAGCTAAAGGTCTTTGTATATCAGGAGATCAGAGAAGATCAAATTAGAAAGTGTTAAGAAACAGGTGTACCCTTACCCATTATATGCTAAAGTGCTTTTGCTCCCTAAAAAGCAACATTGAAAATATATTTTCTTCACCTACAAAAAATGATGATTCCTGGATCCCCCAAGTAATTTCTTTGTTCCATGCCACAAAAAATGCTGCAGAACATAGTATGTTACTAAAAGAGAAAATAACTACATGACATTTCAGACCTCATGAAAAAGGTGATGGCACAATTAACAGCTGCAAAACTTAGTTTCTTCCAAGTTTAGGAAATGCACTTGATGTTTATGTACATCAATTTATGACTCTGAAAGCTATTTGAGAGTTACTTGCAGTAGCTTGCATTTTCAAAAATACTTCTTTCCAACCAAGATTAGAAATATTCCTTTGCTATTATTCCCTCATGGCATCAAGTTTACTTTTCAGTGATCTTTTAAAGGTTTTCCGGTCCCCACAAAGCATCCACTTTTAAACACTTTAGCTGAAACTTGAGTTGAGTCTTTTGACACCTCTTGATCCACTTCCTAACTTCTACTCTAACACATGCCCGCTATTTTTCTCTGCAGCCTAACACTAAATAAATGATCATGTGTTGTGGAAGACATTCTTCTTAATAATCTTTGAGAAGATTACGTTTTTTAAGTCTGCAGTAACTTGACTTCTCAGCCTTCCTTATGACTTTTACAGAGGACTTTGCAGACAACTGACTGAAAGAACTCCAAAACTGAACTATCTCTTATTATCTTACCTTCATTATGAGATAATATAGTATAAACAAAAATTTCATAACTAAAGAAAGCAAGTGAGCTAAATTAAATTGTCTCAAAATTAGCAAGTTAGATTTGATTCAATTGTGGAATAGACTTCGAACTGAAACTAAAATAGATTAATTCGAATTTCTTGCTTTCAGGAAATCCAGAAACACTGAACTTGTCTAAAGATTTTTAAAAACTTTTGCAATTTGAGTACCCTTAAAAATAATCATGTCCCAAACTAAGACATTTCAAACATTTAAATAAACAAGCTGTTGTTTGAAATAGCTGCATCCATGCATTGGTGTATAAGAAAGAACATTAAAATTAAAACCATGAGGCAAGCAAAACTGTGTGAGGACTACAGATTACCTATGCAATCCAAAATCCAGCCTACTGTTCCATCTCCACCACATGCTAGTACTCTGAACTCAGCAACATCTCGGAAAAAATTTAACCTAAAAAGAGTAAATGAAGATACCTAATTATGATCAACATAATTGTCTATTATGTAAAGATGTTATGGCTTAAGATATTTTATTTAATAGTAAATGGCAAATGATCACTTAAAATAAAAATTACTTCTTATGTATTCATTTTTTAGACAAATACAATGCAATATTATTATTAATTATTATCAGTATTATCTGAAAAAATTAAAACAAAATTAATGATTCAAGGATTATTATGGTACACCAACACTAGAAAAAGTTTGGACTTGATGTTTAGTCCTATCTTTGACTTCAAATCTCATTTCAAACTATTGTCAGAAAATATTCTCTGTTCACTTAGCTGTTAATGGATAGGGAGTCTCTCAAGACAGAAAAGTCTAAGCTGTATAAATGTATTAGCCATAACATTTGTTTGTGAAGTTTCTATAAATATGAAAACTTCATATTTCTGGTAGAACACTGGTACATATTAAGCTGAACATTCTGTGGTTGGTAAAAACAACTTTGCATCATGCTTTGATACAAAATAAGAAAGCATCAGATTGAAGGCTCTCACTCCATCATCCTAAAAACTGTATTTTAAAAGTAAAATATCTCTGCCTATATTTGCCTGGATATTTCTGCTTCCATATCCACCAAGTGAGTATCACCACCTCCTCATTCACTTCATTCTATAACAGTGTTGCATAATGCTGTAAAGTGAGGATATACTAAAACAATGCTAAAGTGCAACATTTTAATTTAAAATCATCAGTTCAGGACAGCTTTTGATATATGATAAAATCAGTCCTTACACATAAACTGTCATTAGACAAAAAAGTTCCAGTAATTTTGTAGTATTACTATGTATGTATATGTTCATCCACATATATTGTATTCATTCTGTGTGACAGATATCTTAATGGATATTCTATACTCTAGTGACCAGATCTGATACACAGTTTGTAATCTCCTAATAAATGGACAACTAATATATTTCACACAAATACTTGAATGCAAATATAGACAATAGTTTGCAAGTGTTTAACTCTGTTTCCCATATTAAATTGTAATGCTGCAGGGATAATGTAGTTTCTGTCCTTAGAAAGTTTTAAAATTCTTTTGGACCTCTTGATAAAATCAAGAACACATGAAAAATTAAAGTAAAAAAGCAAGAATGTGAGAAGGAAATTAAAAACACAATGACTGAAAAAGTTATGTAACATGTAGAAGATGACAGGACAACTTCTTGTTCTACTAGTTTTTGACCAGAATTTCAATTTCAGTCAAGTTGCTTAGAATTAAGCCCATCACATGTCCCATCCTCTGTAATTTTCTTTGCTCAGAAGAGCTCTTATGCAATTTCAAGTGCAAATATAATGCTGGAGAGATGCTTACTTGCCCTTCTCACTCCTTCTATGTTCAATTTCACACATCTGCAGGAGAAGTGCTGTAGGATCTCCTGCAATCCAAAACGTCATGTGCCAGATCTGACTGGGTACACACGGGGAACGCTCCTAATAAGCCTATGTGCTGGAGGATCCTCTGCTGGAAGTCACCTCCCAGCACTGAGGTGCAAGGCCAGGCACTGAGATGTGCCCTGGCCCAAAGGTGTGCATCTCCATCCCTTCTCGTGGACTGGCACAGCGACAAACGCCTCCTGCCACCGGTACTGCAACTCCAAGCCAATGTGTTAGGTTGGCAGAGCGTTACCAGGTGTAACTACATTGCTTATTCCTATACTGAGCATTTTATCTTAATTTTAAGTCAAATTATAGCCCAGAAGTGATGGCAGGGTACTGACTTCTAAGTACTTAAGCATTTCTACCTCATGTAGCAGATATGGAAAAGAAACTCTGGATAGAACCTACACCAAACAAGACCAAAAGCACTGGGATGATTTTAGCATTACTCCAGACTGGCAGAATACAGACCTGAACCTCTGTCTCCTTTCATAAACAAGCTTCTTCACCATATGGATATCAAACATTGTTTTTGTTTTGACTGTATAGTTCATCTTCATCAAAAAAGTGTAACTTTAAAAAAAGTGGGGACTGAAAAATCTGGCGAAACCATACTGTCAAAAATATTTTCAATAAGCTGCATTTGTATTTCCCTTGGAGCTTTGTATATTCACAGACAGTGAATTTTCCATGCAAAGTACAGCATTAAATTCACGTTTTTCTGTTTATAAATTTAAATATAAAAATTATACATACATTATATAAAAATCTAACACACAAAATATATAAAAATAATGCACGTTACAGTGTATTTTGCGTATACAAATGCAGTGTATATAAATATACTATGGCAGATATAAATATTTATAAAATCAAATTAATTTATAAAATTAAATATAGTTATATAATTATATATGTAAATAAATCTTTGAATTAGAAATTGAATTAGAATGTGCAGCCAACATCAGAAGTTGGGAAGGGAATACAGTTTTCTGTTTTATAAGGTTTCATTCCGACTCAGTAAATGTTACAATTGAAAAGAAAGAATTTGACACATTTCTTTATAGACCTTTAGGGAGAAAGTCAGTATTGCTTACCAAGAAAACTGTACTCAATTAGTGTTTTAATAGCACCTGTTACTTTTTATCCACTATTTTTCACATGATTTGAAGAGAATTTTTTAAGAAAACTGCTGGAAAATAATTTAGTAAAAGTGGTTTAAAGTGAAACTAAAAAAAAAATGGAAGTCATTGTAATGTGCAATGTCAGCCTAAGCTAAAAGACCAGAATAGAAAATTTTATCCTATTTTCTTGGAAAAATTTGAAACACTGAAAGTGATCAACACCAGCCTAATTTTATTTTATTTTGGCAGAAACAAGGATTCAAAGGCAGTTATTTCTGCTGATAAATCAGTAATTTCCACCTGAAAGAGGGCATCTGTTTCAGCTACCTATATTACTCTAATTCCGTTTTTCATAATCACCTCATCAAATCCACAGGAATGCAGGGGATCTATTAATGAATAAAATACCAATGTTAGAGGATGAAACTAATTGATTTTGAATCATGAAGTTAATTGATCTATGCACAGGTAGGAAACACATATGCATTCTTATAGAAATGTTTAGAGAAACACCTTAAGTATTTATTTTAATGTATTTAATTAATTTAATTTGAATAAAACTGAAGTTTTACTCACAGTAATGAAAAGATAAATTGCACTATTTTCTATTTAGTTACCTGCACGTGACTTTTGCTCTTATACCCAAAAGCAATGCACTATGCAGAACTTCAGGTACTCAGCCACACAAGGTGGCAAAACAGCAATTCATGAAATCATTCAGCATTCTTCACGCACAGTGGAAGCAAAACATAAGACTGTCCACAGCCCAAAACAATAATCCACTAGTGGATCTCTGGATATGTTTCAGGTACCAACACCACAGATGTCACAAAAGCAAAAATATTGTTAAAGCATCTGCTTAAAATATATCTCTAAATTCAGGATTTAAGTCTCATATGTGAAGACTTTGTGAATTCTAAGTACTACTGATTTGTGGTGAAGAAAAATAATTTTTTGTCATTAGAGTACAACCAACCCACCATTGCTGGCTTTGCCATTCTTTGGCAAAAACGTAATTCTTCCAAGAAAATATGGACCAGATTCACTATTTTCTTCAGAAGAAAATAACTATGCAGTTATTATCTTCTAAAAATATTCTTGGTGTATATACCTTCCCAAGAATACTCTGGGTATTCCAAATGTCCAACAGCAAAGAAATGCTCTAGCAATCAATTCAAATAATTCGGGAAAATAGTGTAATTTTCCAAACAGGCTTATTGTTCTGCGAAGGTAAAAAAGTCCAGGTGCTGTAGATTCCCAATTAAATTACAGTGTAAGTTGTAGGGATACAGCTTTGCTGTCTTGGGCATCTTTAAAGTGGGAAGACTTTAAGATTTAGTAAGGCCTGTTGAGGCAAACTGGCAGCTAGAATTAAAAAAAAAAATAGATGTTCTCCAAATTAAATGCTTATGGAAGTTACAAAGAAATACAACTTTTGTGGATATAATTTCTATAATAGAGTATAAAAATACCATAAATTAGACATTTTAAATAATAGAACTTTAGAGAACAGAGGCCTTTTCAGAGGGACAAAGACTTTGTGAAGCGCTGACCTCTCTACAGAGTCCTGCAGCTCTGTGGCTCAACTGCTATTCATCCTGCTATTATTTACCTCTCTGTGAGGTGAACAATAACTGAATTTCAGATTCTTCAAGATCATTAAATCCACAATAACAGTTGTTGTCAGAAGTAGAAGACTCCTAGAGAGATATAACAACAAAACAGGGAAACTCTTTTCATGGCAAAAGACACAGGTGCTAGGCACAAATTACACAATGCATCAGCCCAGCAATTTTCCCGTCACTGTGTTAACTGTGGCAGTCTGTAACTGTGGAGTACCTTTTATGCCTGTGTTCAGCTGCACAGCTTACAAGGATTTTCCAGCTCACTCATATCCCTCTACTGCCAATTAAAGAATGTCTAAACCATTAATTATTATACCCATGTTTAAAGTATACTGTTGCCTCCATTGCTGGAAAAGAATCAGTGCAAGAGTCGCTGCCATGAGGTTTATTTCATCATGTACATATTTTTATGCAGACTATGTATATCACTGGTCTTGACATTAACTGTTCCAAAAACCCTAGCTCAGGCAGGCAAAGAAGCTGCAAGAAATGTCATTGCTGCTGCTCCTGCACTTCTCCATGTACCATCCCATCTATTATGAAAGTAAGCAACACTTCCACTTCAGTAATTGTACATTGAGGCTGTGATACTAAAATTCATAGTCAACTTGCTCAAAATATTTTTTCTGTTGTCCTGCCATATGCCAGCATAGTTACAGAAAAACACGAAGAAATGTGGGGGGTTTTTGTGCTTTTAGGGGGTTGTGGTTTGGTTTGTGTTTGGTTTTTTTTTTTTAGTTATTATTTTGGAGCCCTTTACTCCAACACATTGCTCTGCAAGAACATGGTTATCCTACAAAAGCAGAAAAATAGACACAGCAACTGAGCTGCTGACCATTAAAAAAATCCAGCAGTTTCAGCCCCCCTAAGATTCACAATTTTCTTAGTCTCCTAGTTCTCTTTTCCTTCTCTCTGCTGTTTGAAAAGGGGATACTTAGATTTTCGGCAAAAATGAACTGGAAATATCAATTTATATCAGCCACAGATCCTTGGAACTCAAATTACAAAACATGTGAATGTTATCTTCTTGCTTGATGACAGCAGCCCATGAGAAAAATATCATCAAAAATTAAAAACATTAACTTATAGGTTAAAGCAGACAGGTTGGCTCTAACAAAAAATGCAAATTCTTAGCTAATACTATAAACATTCTCTTGGTTGAGTAAACATGGGTGAAAATACAACTTGAAGAGAAAAAAAAATCTCAATATAGGCTCAAGTAAAATGTACTAGAATAATCATAAATGCTTTAAAATAAATATACATTATATTTATCCCTTTCTACTAAATAGCTTACTAAAGAACCTACTGGGATGAATAAATACACTTCTGCAAATCTGTTCCATTTTGATCTAAATTTCACATGTAATATGAGAACATTAAATAAACATAAAATCTGGATTGACAATCCAGTATAACTGGCATTATAGAGATGGATGAATGAGTGGACAGATGGATGAATGGGCAGGTTTTATTAGGCAACTCAGCCCTCACAGAAAACAAGTACTGGTAAGTGAAATACCAGAGTTTATTCAACTTCTTGCTTAAGGGTCAAATTATATGCAGCCTACAAAGTATTGCCAGGGGCAAGAAGTGATGGCAGGAGAAAAACTGGAAATTTAGGACTATTAATTTCTGTGAAATGAATAAGAAATATAGCAAAACAAGCAGTGCCTGTTTGAAAATTAATTAGAATTTTCTTCAAAGTGACTCTGAAGTAAAACTACTCCGATTTCTAATAGAAAGTGAAATTGAAAACACTTTCTAAAAAACACTGCCCTGGTTCAAAAGACTAATGTTTAAATTGCTTCAGTGCAGGGTTTCAGCTTGAACTTAACACTGCCCTCTTGTGCCTCTGCCTTAAAACGCATTTTCCTTCACATAGCAAGATTCATGAAAACTAAGTCACTTATGAACAGTTTTAAATTTTGAAGAAATAAGGTGACTATGAACAAAAAATATCTATTTTTTTTTAAATCATCCTCTCAATTTCTAGCACAGCATTTCTATTACATAGTATGTAAAACAATATTGTTTACTAGTTTTGTCTCAGTTAATTCTTCTAGTATACTTATTCTTTGAACTAAGAGTACTTAAATTTTCCATATGTGTCAAGAATAGCATAAAATCAACAAACTTCGAGTAATAAAAACAGCACTAGCATTCAGATACAAGATGATTACAGGCATGAAAGAAATCACATGTCATTATCTCCATTTTTTGGGCTGGTTTTGCACTATTCAGCAGGTTAACATTAGCCACACTGCAGTGCATGATATCTTAACTCCTAAAATGATTGAGCTCAATATGCATTTCACTTTCATCAATGTTACACACATCTACAGCTCTAAACAAATAAAAAATGCAAAGATTAAAAAGAAAAGTATTCAAACAGCAGTGTAAACTTCATGTCAGTCAACATGTACCTCCTAATATCCTTCTACAACTCTTTTCACTGAAAAATTTAATGTATCAGTGACATAAGTAAATAGCAACCAGTACATAGAAAATAACATACAGAGCAGATATTTAGCACTGCTCTGTCTAGTTTTCTTCTACCAAAGCACCCACTGCTTAAAAAGGAGACAATATCAGGTGGCAAAGGCTGGTGTTTGATACACTGTAATTCTCCTGTCTTCATACTAAGGCAAATTAAGAAGAATCAGGGAGGAAGCACATTAAGCAAGGGACGGCAATGCCAGCTGGTTCAGAGAACACTCCAGTCCACATTAAAAGTCACTGCCAGCACAATCTAGCCTGGCCAGTCATTTTCCAACCACTACATTTCCATGATTATGTAACTGATAAGAAGTGTGCAGTCACCAATACATTACAGGCACCTATGCATGAGCACATTTGTGTTTTAGTAAAAGAAATGCATGTTTTGCTGGTCAGTCTTTAAGGCCGCTGACATCTGCAACACAAGTAACCCCCAAGAACTCGGGTTGCTGAACTGGCAGTTAAAGCTGCAAAGAGAATTAAGTTTATCCCACAGTTCTTATAGAATAATGCACGGTTTTCAGCAAAACATATGAGACACAGCCTTATTTGTACAGGTAAACAAATAATACCTATACATTTCTGCAACCATTTAGAGAACTGCAGAACTGCAGTGTTGATACATTCCAAACATGCTATATGTACTTCAGTCTGTTCATTTGATTATACGGTATTTTATTAAATGAGTTCCTGGTAATAATATTAACTGCAGACTTACCCTGGCATTGGTCCATTTCCAGAAAGACTATAAACTTGACGAGGATTTAAAAGGTACTGAAATTTTCTATAAATTCTGAAGAGGTAAAAGAGACAAGGAGAAAATATTTACTTACATGTTTGGAATTTTTAAAAACCATTTCAAATGAAAGAATTAAAGAAGTTAGAAACATAGTTATTTGAACTGCAGGATCTCATTTATACAAAAAATCAAATATTTCAACACAGCAATTATAATTCATATATAGTGTATTGTGGGATATAAAGTTGAGACAGAAGTACTACAAGCTATTTACAATTCAAATGCTGTGTGTAGACAAACAAAATACGATAAAGAGCTATAGTTACACAAGAAAAGGTGAGTCAAAAAAGCATTTTGGAAAGCATATTGATTTGCATTAAAGTAACTCCATGGCAAAGGAGAGATTTCTTCCTGAAATTTATTGCAAACACAGAATTACAAGTATAATTAATTGCAAAAGCTAATTGGCTTTGCCACCCACCAAAAATATCTGCATAGGCTGAAAAACATTCTGATTAATAAAACCTGTGGTCGACTACATTTCCTCAGGATTACATTTGAATGGGAAGAAAATGAAAAATATTTAAAGCATTGTTTTAGTGAATTACACTTTTTTTTTTTTATTATCTGAAAAATAGGAAGCAATTTATTGATACAGCATGACAAGCATGGCCTTATCCCACATGGAACCACGTTTGATGTACTACCCTCAGAAATTATTTCTTCAAAAGTGTAAATTTAGAAATTTGAGTTTACTTGTCCTAAAAGTATGACAGAGATTTTGTTTCCTCATTACAAATATCAGAAGTGTAATTTCCTACACTTACTGGAATGCAGTAGTGATTCTTTTCTCACATAGAAACAAGAAAGCACAGAGAAGAGTTGGAGCTCAGAATAAATAAATATATACCTGGGATCTATGAGAATAGTTTAAATTATAAACTCATGCTTCTTGGGTTTAATTTTAATGTTTCTGTCCTTAAGCTAATTAATGCTTAAATGTTTTTAAGAAAGCATTTATTTTTCCACTGAAATATTCTTTTCTTTATAATCTCTTAAATAAAATAGAAGCATAAGAGCTGAATTCTAGGTTAAAATGTCCATGTTTTCAAATACAGCACAATAAAACTGTCTAGACACAATCTATGTACACATTCAGGGATTTTTTTTTGTATTTTTTTTTCTTAGTAGAAATGCATAATTTATCAAGAGAGCAGGTGTGTAAAAATACTGAATACAAACGAATTCATAATTATCAGTAAAACTGCCAAACTGGAGTATTTTCTTAACTTGTCAATTATTTATTGATATCAGCTTCATAAAGCATTTTATTCACACTCACACAATACACTCCTGATGCCATTCCTGACACAAAAGTCAGTATGAAATGACTAGTTTCATTTCACAAGTATGCACACATCATTGTTGATGGCTGTGACAATGATTATTCCTTTGACAATGGATTTACAACACAATATACACATTCCCATTTTACAAATGTAAAAGGAGTTTTCTAGTTAGTATGTGTGGTTTGCTTCTCAGACATGTAGAAGTTAATCTGGTCAAAGGTGATGCTAATTTAATTTGTGTAGCTGACTGTAAGAAGTTCATGAACAGCATTTTTACCAAGTCCCAAAGTTCTAAGAGTTATTTTCCTCAAGTTTGGTGCTACAAAACATACTAGTCATTACCTACACTCACAGAGCTGTTTTCAGGTAACAGTGAAATGCTATAAAAGCCTTCTTAATGAAGAGGAGGCTAGGTTTTTCTACTCAGAAGTCCGACAGCAATAATGAAGACATTACACTGAATTGTACTTGACTCACTGCATACCATTCATGCTACCAGTTGAACATCAGTACCTGCTAATCAATCCACAGTGACTCACTGCAAATGACACATTAAGCTTTAAGTTATTCAACATTTTTATGTATTCTGGTCTGTATAAAATTAATAAACTGATGTCTCATTTCTATTCACACATTCTCAAAAAAAAGAGGAAGTTAGAAACTGTCTATAAATGTTTCCTTCACACTAAGCTCTACCCAGACCTAACAGGGTGACATGGGGAAGCCAAGGAAATGGACAGTAACTCAGCCTTCTTGTTTTACATCTACAGTACCAAACAATGACACTGATGTGGCTCTGAATGCCTTGCTTCCACATGTGAGGAAGGAATTGGATGTAGTTTCCTTGTCACTGGAGATTTGTGCTGACAAGGCCATGAGACGGTGTGGTGGCAAATGCCTCAAAAGACATTTTTGTGATGAAATGCAATTTCATGAATGAAACTAGTTTATGAAATCACCGCTTGTCAAGAAACAGCTGTGCTTCTGTACCTACTTTTGGGGTTATTCTGTGATCTGGAAAACTAAAAAGATTCCATTTACAACACAAATCCATGGAGGAGTTTCTTCACTGTCATTTTTCTGTTTATTTAAATCATGCCCATGATCTACTCTGCTAGTGTAACTGAGGAGGCAGAAAATTATCTCAGGAGTGGCCAAAGGAGCTGGCATCATCTTTAAACAGCTCAGGTGCTGAAGAAAATATTTTTGAGTGCACCTTGGGCTGAGTTAGATTAAGCTGTCTTCTGAAGAAGAGACAAAATAAATGGCCAGAAACTAGCTGGCAATCACAAAACTCACAATAAAGTTGACTACATCGTGGTAAAAGCTGGCCATGATAATGCCTTCTGCCACAACTGGGAGACACATCTTCAGTCCTCTAGGGGCTATTAATGATGTGGTTAATATGGGCTTAATTTAACCCTGATGTCAGACAAGAAGCCAAGGACTCCTCTCTAAAAGAAGAAATGCTAGTTATCTTCTCTCTCAGACATACAATATTTGAAACTGCTTTTATATTTTGTCGCAATGCTAAATGAAAGCTCAGAAAGGCAGATTAGTCAGAGGGGAGGAGGGAAGAGCTATTATGAACCCAAGTTATTTGAAAACAGCAAAGGTTAAAAATACCATCAACCTGTATTGCACAGACACTGAACATGGAGTCAGCAGGAAAAGCCAGTGTACGGAAGCTGATCTCCAGTGCATCCAACAGCACATTTGTCAAGGAAACAATTGTGTAAACTCACCCTCTGGTCAGGCAAATAAACTGGAAAATGGAGAAGTGGAAATCAAAGTAATGAGTATAGCAAAACAACAGCATGATTTAGAAGGACTCTTATGTGAGAAACATTACCCTTAACAACAGCCTTTAGATGCACTACGTGCTTGTGGTATATTCTTTCTGTTGAAAGAAACTATTTTGTGAATGGTAGGCTACATATATACATTCTACACACAGATTATTAAAAACTGTTGTCTTGATTAATCAGATCATAATTGCAGACTGATAGCCCTAGAATGAAATGGATGTTCTGCATTATTTTGGATGAAATCAACTGCACCTGCGCATTTCATGCACAACCACTGAAAATATCTTACGGTGTGATATAGCCTGAGGAATCCACTTCCTGGGTTTGATGAACTCCTATTCAGTGTCATTCTCATCCATTTCTAGTATGTGAAAAGACTTAAATTCATCAGCTTTAATTCTATTTTTCTACTTTACTCTTAATAAACAGTGACTTATATTTTTATTCTCTTATAAACATCTGTATTGTCTATTAAACAAATCCATTCAAGTCCAAATAACTGTAAATACACTTGAGTTTCATATGATGGGCAATTACTAATCTCCTAATTAAGAAGAAAATACAATGGGGCTATTGTCATAATTCTTGATTTTGAGATTATATATGAAAGTCGTAACACTGGTCTTCAAACCAGAAACTTATTCAGGAAGAACACATTTATCACTACACATTCTGAAAAACTGAATTTCTAACATAATGTAACTTTTAAAAATGTAGAGAACATATTTTTTGAGTTCTGAATGTACTTTTTCTACATATCCATTTGTTTCCCACCATCCCTTTGTTTGAACATTTAAAAACTAAAACTAAAGAACCAAGCTTTTTTTTTGCCTTTAAGTGATGCTTACTTCTTTTCTTTCGCCTTTGAGAAATTTGAAAAAAATTACAAAATACAAGAGGAAAGGACCATGCATTACTGGAGGTTGCACTTATTCAACTGGTTTTCAGTCAGATGCATAAACTCTCTCAAGAATAAAGGCAATGAAATGGCCTGGGTTAACATATGGTAAGGCATAAAATCTCATATGGGGAACTGTGGGAACACTGGAGTCTTGACAATCTGCAATAACCTTTCTGTGTTCAATGAAAGTTAATAAGAAATCTTATTTTCATTCATCATGACCTCTCAAATACAGAGAATCCTAAGTAAAGACAGAGGAATAGTTCTCAGTACAAGATTTTCCTAATCTGAATGAATCAAGAAAATGAAATTCTGATCTAGAAAAACTAGAAGGTTGTGGGCTTGTTTTGCCTTTTTTTTCCCCTCACTGCTGGGGAAAAAATCTTAATTTTATTACAGTGTATCCTCTAGTCCCACCCTCTCACCACCTGACCAGATTACAAAATTGCTAAAATCAAAAAGCCTGACTTGAATGCCATTTACTTGAAAATTGGACTCGATGATCCTCGTGGGTCCCTTCCAACTGTGAAGAAATCTGTGCATCACCATAACTGTGCATTTTGCAAAGTACTTTATGTCTTGAAATGTCCTGTTATTTTACTTTCCACAACATCTAACTGCCACAAAATTGGAGGGTAGGGAATATATGGGAATCTCTTTCTGCTTACTGACTCTAAAGCAGACAGATAAAACCCAGGGAAACTAAAAAAAATCAGTAATATTTCTCCTGAGAATGTTTTCATCACTTAAACTGAATATTCAAACTACAACGCACTCTTAACAGCCTTGTATTTTTGCTACTGGCATTGATATGAAACATTAACACCTAAAAAATGGAGAGCAAACCCCTTGTCAACAAATAGTCCACATGTGGACTTTTTTTAAACTTTCTGAATCTGGCTTTAGATCTTACTGTTATCTCCTAATGGTGAATGACCTGAGATATGTTTACAGGACTATGCAGTTGACCTTTTGATGTGCTTCTCTTAAAACAGAAATATTGAGTGTGACCTTGACACATCAGTATGCAATTTAACATTTTGTGTGTATGTGGTATCAAAGTCAATTTAAGAGGTTCTTACAATTCACTACACTCAGCTGCTGGTGCCTGCCCTCGTGGTATACCCTTAATTGTGTAATGACACTCATGGATAATGGTGCCAGTGAATGAAGTGCATATAGGGCATCCATTTTTAAAATTCAAATAATTCCTGTGATCTGTTTGGCCTCAGTAACAGTTTCATTGACATAAACTGAGAAGTGTTTGATTGTAATACATGAAAGGGAATAGGAGCCTGAGATGGGGATCAGATTTAAAACTTGCTTTTACCCTGGAGAGTATCTAACATTAAATGACATCCCTAATGCATTAAGCCCATTCAGATAGTAACGCTTGAGACCAATTATGAGCTGGGAACCGAAAGCTGTGAAACAGCATTTCATTAAATTGTTTCTAGGCTATAACTAACTGTGTAAGTGCAGCTCTCTAACCTGCCTCTCACCTACGTAATTGCAGACTGGATCTCTCATCTACTCACTTCATATTGGTACTACAAAAAGTCAAGCTGAGTGCTAGTGCAGATTACCTTCCACAAGCCCTCTGACTGCACAGCAGACCAGGACTGCCTCACACTGCTACTGTGGCTGAAACATGAAAACTCAGGATGGCTCACACTGTTTGTTCCAATTGCAAAGGCATGTTTTTGAAAACATTTAGAATTAATCTTTTAGATAATTAACTGCCTTTGACACACCTAGCTGATATGTAGGTATACCAGTCCAGAGATTACATAATCAGCTCTCAAGTGATAACCAGTTCTCTTAGAGGTCTTCAAATATAATTTTGGTTAATGCCCCTTAACTCTAAGAATTACCCTAACAACTATGCAGGATTTTGTCCCCTTTGACAGTTTAATTTTAGGGGCACAGGAAGATGTGATCTAAGGGAGGCAGAGTGGAGGAGGTAGGGAAAACTGACCCATTGTAGTTTACTTGCTTGGCTCCAGGCTTTAGAATCACACTGCATCCCTCCTTTTTTGCTTCTCATTACCCATATCACCAGTATCGACAGGTGTCACCTTCAGCTGGACCCTGGCCAAAAGACCACAATCTTTTTCAAGATTTGAAGTTACAGTAATGGTGACATCACACGAAGTATCATGATAACATTAAATTACAGACATGGAGAACTAGGCTATAAAAATTGAGGGATTTAAGGGATGATAAAAAATGGCTGTATTGTTAGCATTTGAAATCCTGAAATATGATATGAAAAGTCTGTTTAGGAGGCAACTAATTCAGCACTCCTGCCTGAGTAGGAGAATGCTCCTTACATCTACTTTATGAGGCTTCTGATACATTAACACTTTAACTAATAAACTCAGATGTTTTTAATTTAAATCGATGTAATTCCTGACGTGTAATATGTCTTTAAGATTGTGTGACTGGACTCTAATAATTCAACTGGATTTTTAGAATGCTTATCTACAGAAATCAAAAGGTTTCTTTGAATGAAATCTTATGAAGCAGCTTGAGAGCCTCTACTACTAAGTCTTTAAAAAGCAAATCATACATTAGCAAATGGAATACTGCTTCTAATTTAAACTACTGGCCTGCCTGTATAATCATTACATAGATTAAAAGAAAACTGTTAGCACTTTTAAGTTTTAATACAAGATACGGCAACTCACATCTTCATGCAATTCACACAAACCCATGCACTGAATATACCTACTTTTTTTTATTTGAAAAAAAAAACTATTCTATAGAACTAACTCTTGATTTTAACCAGAGTATTTATAGGTACAGGGATATAGGATGTTCAACTGTGAGGAATAACAATATAAAATTTTGGATTTTTTCCTCATGTACAAACTTTTAAAATTAATTTTTAAACATTTCACAGACCAGAATTGAGAAAGAGAAGAAAAAAAGAAAAAGAAAAAAACCCTTACCTTTCTCCTTGTTTCCCACCACTTTTAGGATTGACAAAAACTAAAAGTGGATGAGTGCCTGGAACTGGAGTGATCTAAAAGAAGGGAATAACACAGCCACTCATTAATGCTGTGTGTTGCATTCATTTTTTCCTATAGTAGACAGAAAACAAAAAGCTTAATGCAAACTCTATGTTATGCCATGTAATCCAGCTGGAAGCAATACCATAATTTGCAATAATCCTCACTTCATTAATTTGCCAGCAATTGGCAAGTGACTTCTTTAATGCTGTCTGTTTTACAGCTGTGTTGCCATTTTAACCAATAATGCCACTGAAATATTGAGATATATACATACATAACCTCTCACTATATAGATATATATTTCTGTGCGTGTATATATATGTATCTACATTATCTCCATCAGCAGAAAAGAAAACCTTACATGCAAATAATTACTCTGACAGTAATTTCCTAAAAAAAAAAATAAAAGAAGAAAGTTTAAATGAAACTGTATTTTGGCGTGAGAAATTATATATACTATTTTACACTGTGAAGGTCAACTCTATCTATATGGAACATTGAACTTGACAGATTTTTCTTTTTAATTATGGCAATGAATACCTGCTATATTTGATATAATATGATATTAGACACTTTTTAAAATGTGGCAACCATGATATTAAGGAATTCCTTTAAACACCTGCAAAAGCTGAAAAACGAAAAAGGAGAAACCATTAAGAAAGAAGGCAAGTCTGAGGAAAAGAGTGTTGAGGAAAAGGAAGGAAACAATGGCATCTACCACCATTTAAAAAAAAAAATTCTTTTGTGCATGGAAAGTTTTACACATTCACATTAATATTTAGCTTTACAAACTAACACCTTCATTCTAAGTAATAGGGTTAGTCTGTATTTTCAGATACTCTGAGATGCGTGTGTTCATTGCCTTTACTCCAAAGACTTGAACATAAAAAAATGGTATCAGATGAGGTATGATACAGGTCTTTAAACCATGAATTGCTCACATTTAGAAGTATCACTTTTAGACATATATCAATTCCAAAATGTTTTAAAGTATATTAAGAGTTCCAAGTCAACATCTCCAAAGTCAACACTAACAACTTCAGAGACAAAGCTTGGATCATCTTGTTTCAAAATGATACACTGAAAGGCCTTGCTCAAAATCCTTACTCCTAATCCCTGAAATAACAAAATGTGAAGAATTCATAATGTGTAATTTAAGGCAGAACCTGAGAAACCTCATAGCTAAGGAGTTTTATAGGCAAACTATAGATACATGCATATAGTCCTACAGGCATCTAAAACACTTTAAGTAGGAAATGTTAAGGACTAGTGTGTCAACTCTATTCATGTTTTCACAAAACAATAGAATCAAATCTGTCCCAATATATACAAAAATAATGGAAAAGTCCACAAATTCAGTGATATTAAGCTTAACATAAAACCGACTTAGTATCACCTGGTGCAGTAAAGTGCTGTATGTTGAAACATAGATCAAACTGCAGAATGCAGTGAAGTTTGTCATATATTTAATTTTTACCTACTGTTTTAATCAATTTTAGTTATTTAGCCAATTCTCATGGTGTTTATTCCTGTAAACTAAGTGTAAACCAATGGTGCTCATTGTGACAGAGATGGAATACCTACTGAAATCCCTTAGGACGCAGGTTAATTAATGAGACTCATCCTAAGGTTATACATGATCTATTACTTCCTCTAATTAGAAATAATAATCCTGATCATTATGCTGGTTAGCTAGAAAGAAGCAAGATGAATGTGCTTAACTATGATTAATTGTCTTTAAGTCATGCAGACCTCCACTGCCACTAAGTTACCTGCTCACTCTGTCTGATGGAAAGAAGGTTTGGGCTTGATCTTTTTCTCAACAAAAGCTAAGTGATGGACTTTCCTATTTCAAATCTTTTATTTTAAGACTCAATGAGATTATTTCAAGTAGAAGGGTTTGGATCATCATAAAAAAAAAAAAATCTAATAACTAATCTGTATCCCACTCGGTTCCAAAATAAATTTTAATTAAATTTTTACAGCTTTTCCAAATTACTTTTCCAGATAACATACGGTATTTTTATATAATGAAATGCAACTAAAGATTTAGACTAAATTAGTGAACATTTTCAAGCCCTAATCTCGCACAATTTAAAAGCAATCTTCACAATGTTATAGGACAAGTGACTTAAAGGAAAAAGAAAAAAGTGGTGGAGCATGTATTTAGTTTCTCCCATATTGAAAACAGAGGTCTAACAGCAGTAGTACAAAGATCTTTGCTTTGTTACCTTGGAACTTAGATCATAAACAAATCCAATTAACATACTGATTAAGTTTTCTGAAATAAAACCCTTGCTTACTGAAGATCTTGTTAAAATGAGACCATGCCAGCAGAATCAGAGTATTAGAAACAGAGCAGCATGCCAGATATGGGAGAATTAGAGTAGTACACTTTGATCAGATACAGAATGTTTTCTCCAGACCATCTTTGGGCAAAATACTAACATTAATTACCAGTTATATTTATAGCATCTTACATCTTTGTGAGAATAGTTGAAAAATTAGACAATTTGGGAGGAAGAAAAGCACTAACATTCTCATTGATCCCATCATTTCAGTAGGATAGCCTTCAAGGTTCACTCAGCCTTCGCAATAATTACATTCACAATAGGTCATCATTTTTAATGCCAATCAAAAATTAAATATTTGATGCTAAAATGGGTTCCAATTTAATCCATCCGTGAAAAACAAAGACCATGGTAAAATCAGCAAATTAGGGCCATAACTGCAGAATTATTTCTAATGTTATCACCATGATTACCAGTACTGTGTCATGCAGTACATTACAAATGTGTCATTACAAAACACCAAGCACTTCAAAACACACCTATTCAACAATAATTCTACCATCTTTGTCCCCATTTTCTTTTTCTCCATCTCTAGCACTAACAAAGAAAAGCAAGGATGAAACCCAGGCTTTTGATTCATCTTGGAAAGAGAAGATAAAACACAAGTTTTGCATCACACTAAAAAACTTAGGGGAAATCTTATGACCTGAAAGCAGAACACATAATAATTTTAAGTTTTGTGTTGAAGAGTCCATGGTGCTAAAAGTCGCTATTTTGAGTAGTCCAAGTATTATATCCTAGGCATGGTATCACTTGAGTGGGAAATAAAGACAAAAAATAGCTGAAAATAAACTATGAGCATAAGTAATCTCATGCTTGGAGCAAACACAAAATTCATAATGATACATGGTGCTGCAACCAAAAGGAGATGCCAAAGATGCTCCTCTATCTAGAATACTTTGTCTCACTGGAATTGTGTTGATATCACCCAAAAGTTAGAACACACTGTGTTTTTCCTTTAGCACAAACTTATTAATCACACTGTGACTGATTAGAAACAACTTGAGCTATCTTTCAATTAAGACTCTAGTATTTTTTGCTTCATGTTTTGTCACAGTTGATCTGGATACCAATGAAGCCTGTGAAAATGGCAAGTACAGGAAGAGATTTTTGAAAGCAATGGATAATGATCGTTCTAATATCCAACTATACCATCAATGGAGCAGTCATGTGACTAGAAAGGTTTTAAGGTTTGTTTTTCTGGTTTTTTCAGGTTTGGATTTTTTTGCCCTTCTTTGGGTTGTCATAACAAGAATGTTTGACTAACCTAAAACACAAAACAATACAATAAACCTTTCTATCCTGATACAACGAGATAAACTAATTATGAGGCATAAGATAATAAGGCTTTTACTGAAGCCCAATTGCATCATATCAAAGATAGAACAGACAACTATGCATATTAAATTATTATCACATCGTTATCATGATGATAATTTAACTCCTGAGAAAATAAAGCAGAAGCATCCTGCATATGGACATTGATTTCATTCAAAACTACTCATATCTCAAGGAAAAAAAGTTAGCAGTTCAGTCATGCCTCTAAGTCACCACTCTTAAATAAAATTAGCTCATCACACACAAGCTTTTCTTTCAAGTAGAAAAACTTCCATTTTTATCATAGATATTGCTATTAATGAAAACATGTTGCTTCTCACCACTGTTAATGTTGATACGCCAAATAACCTACTCAGAAATACTTGGACAAATAACACCCTTGAAGTTTTCTCCATCCATTAATCAACAGGTCCAAATGAGAATAGTTAACAGTTATCAGGACAGACTTAGATTAATAATGTAAATTTATGCAACATTGCATGACAGATACAAAAAAAACTAGTTCATCCACCCCAAGACAGAAGTGTTTTGGAACTAGTCCTCCCTCCCCCTTAATGTCTTAGGAAATCCTAACAATCACATGAGAAGCAGATGTGTATCATAGGATTCCTGAAACAATGGAAGACTTTATGTATTGCCTTTTTAAATACATGAAAGTGAAATATTAGAAGAGTAAATGCATATTTCACTTTAAACATATCTCACTGTTCATACGTAAAATAACCTGCTTAATATTAAAATAACAATAATCACACCTGAAGGCCTTGTCCATCTACTGTGACAGAATTTGCTCTTTGCATTTTGTTCCGTTCTCCCAGTTTGTTCATTTGCTGGGGGCAGCTCTTTTCTTTTTTCACTGTTGCTTGTCTTTCCTTGAAAAGAGAAAAGGAGAAAAGGGAACATTTTAACACATTATATAATGCTATACAACTGTAACTGAGACTGTACTTCTACAAAGTTGTTTTCTTAACTAGCAGGTAATGTCAGATTCTGCTTTAATGAAAATGAGATCTCAGTCAAGTTAATACACAATGTCTGGCCACTTCACATAACATCTATCTATGTGCCTGGCCATTCCATAATGACTAGGCAATAGATGGATGAATAGTGTGCAGTCACAACACAAATTAATGTAATGATGTGAAAAGATAATCTGACATTACCAGGGTGCCATTTTGAAACTTGAAAGCCAATCATACAATATACTTGACTGTTTAATAAGCATATTGATAAGACATCAGTAATTTTTCAAAATTTCATCCCGACTGCTAGCGAAGGTTGGATGCCTCAGAATACTTTACCACTTTGGCAAAATATACCTTGGTCTAAATGAACCACAATCAATTAGCTGAGTAAATTTTTATAAAACATGCATTTTGAATCAGAAGGAAACCAGAATCTACATCAGATTCTAAGCTACTGGCAACTTTTGATGCTCATACACAGCACAATGAGATGGCAATTTGAAAGAGAAAAACTCAGTATTATACAGTTGCAATCATATTTTCAACTGCTAAAAGGCCATTTCAGGTAACTGCATGGAAAAAAGTATTCTCATTCTTTGTATCTCATTTATTCCATTTATAAACTGCACCCAGCATGTCCTTTTAGGTTGTCCAAAAATGCACCATAAATTAAGACAGCAGATGTTTATCAAATAGAATCAGTGTCTGCAATCCCAACTGCACCCCAGCCGCTTTCCTCACTTCACAAGTGCAAGGAGGCTTTATAAACTAATCAAGGGAATGGGCTGGCACAAAGCTGCTGCACTAGAAAAGGAGCATGAAGGACATTGTTGCACCCCCTGCAACTGCATTCAGTAACAAGTGCATTAAATGTTACCATACACATTCCATACCAGGCCAAACCCATCTCTGTGCTACGTCCCATAAAGCCTTGGGGATTGGTAGCAGCAATTAATTCATGAAACTCTTTCAGGAGCAGTTTTTACTGGTAAGAAGCACTGACACAGATTCTGTCAGGAAGGGAATAACTCCCAGCTTAATGCAGTGCCTTTTAGCACAAATGTGAAACCTGATTGTTTTTATACCATCATCATTTTCTTTAACTGACACTGACAGAGTCCCAGCCTAGATCTGATGCAAAAAGTGGTCCAGGTCATCCTAGGCCACTTTGGGTAGCCAAGTGCTCGGAGGAACTGTGGCAATCTGACCACATTTTGTACAAAAGGATGGACAAACCTATGCCACTGGGAAAAGAACAAAAAACAGGGGAGTCTACACAACTGTCTGTATGCAATGAGATTCCTAAGAGGGTAGTTAACAGAGCTCTTGGATGCTTTGGGTAACTTGGTTGGTGCAAGACGAGGTCCAAGACTCTAGACTGCAATATCATTGTTTTGAAGAGAAAATAGTAAAAGCAATTAGAGCTATTCACCTCATCCTTAACCTTAGAAACAAAAAACACTGTATGTATCACTACCTAAGAAATCACCAGCTCTGCACTTACTTGTTTGAAGATTTTTTTTCAGAAAGTAGAACCAGGATGAGGCACCCAAAGAGAATAAAATTTTTGAACTAATATAGAACATTTTTCACAATGGATTAGTTAGTCCCAAGGACAGCAAGTAAGATACTTCTGCATGAAGGAAGCTTCACACTTCTTTACAAATTTAATAAGTTGTTTTGAGGTTTTAAACTTTGTGAATAATTACCCTTAAAAGTTACCACCTTGTATAAAAATAAAGCATGATCTGTTAAATAGGATTTTACATTGTGGCCAAATCTGGCTTATGAATACCACAACATCTTCAAATATCAAATCAGATGTCAGTAAAGCAGAGAAAAAGCTAGTAAAAATTGTGATTTCTAACAAAAATCCGAGATGAAGAGCAAATTTTAAAAGGTCTAGGAAAATCTCAAGCTAAAGGACACATTTGTGATAATTGAAAGAAAAATGTGGCAGAAATTAACAGACTCAGCACAATGAGTTTGCATATTTAGAAAGGTTAAAAAAAGGTTCAAAACAGGCATACTTTTAGTGTGCTCTAAAAATCTTCTTGCATATATCATGCTACTATTTAGAAGAAAGCTATTTATACACTGCAGAGACCCGTGCCCAAACCCACTGTTATTAATGACTCAAGTAAAATGCAGTAACAATTACCTAGAGCAAAGTTTTGCATATTGGGGTGATACAAATAGCAGCATGATACAAACAGCAGTAAATGCCCTCAGTTGGCCTTAGTCCTATGACTGCTGCATTACTCCTTCTCCAGTTTATATTTCCCATCCCATAAACAAAACCACTGCTTGCTACACAAAGACAATGCAAGATTAGGTCATATATCTCAGGTAACAAAGGAAAAATAATATTCATGATACAGAATTGTCTAGAGCGTTAATAATTATGATCAAAGATGGATACCTGATCTCATAAACACTGAAACTTTGCTTTCTTCACTGATGATTTTTGAAGAAAGTACAAATAAAGTATTTCATATCACCCATCTTATATGAGACCACAATACACGTCACCACGTCTATCAATACTGCTCTCTAAAACATTTCTGAAGAAGCTGATGAGATTCTAGATTTCCTAGAATTATATATCCTATAATTTTTAGATATGTGTCACACTAGTGAGGATTTGACTTAGTTTGTATGACATATTCTGATGAATTGTATCATAATTCTAATGAATAAATCTGTTAATGGAACACAAAAAGATTTACCACCTCATTTTTTTTTTTATATTCTTATGCAGATCCTTTCTTTTATATATGGAATACCAGTGGTGCCTGACCCACAGTATCGTTTTGGGAACTAAAACATTACTAATACATCAGAGAGCGTCAAGAAATAAACAAGTTAATTTTTAAAGTAGATAAAACCAGAAGATAAGAATGGATAACAGTATAAAAAGTCGAGTAATATTAAGAAAAACCTGACATGCATTGAAAAAATGGGTTTATAAAATGTAAAACTTTATCTCTCCATTTAAGAAATATTTCTGTAACAGTTGTGTTGTTTTTATTATCTTGCTAAATAAAGCATACAAAATGATCAATGTATCTGTGAACCACTGTTTAGTGAACATGCATGAGGCTGACACAGATACTGAATACAGCAATTTAGATGCTATTGTACATTTTGATGGCTCAAAGAATGAAGCTTTTTGTTCTTTTGGTATGTGTCAGAACACATACCTTCCAAAATAGTAATTACCACGACAAAAAATTTTCCCACTTCTTATGTCTTATTTTCCCCCTTGAATTCCCACTTTGAAGTCGATATGCATTTGCTGGAGCTTCTACCATTCAGGACTGCTCCACAGAGAGACCACTGCCAGGTGAAAACTACTGAATTGCACCTATTCCATATTCCAAAATCAGAAAGTAATTGACAAATAAGACAGGACTTTTCAAATAATAACCCAGAATATCATCTCTAGATTTTTGGTTCAGCCCCAAAATGCACTTCATAGCAGAAAGAATGTACAGCATCATGAACTGTTAGTAGTAGAGCGTTGATGGATGCCTCCTGCTACGCACCTCAGGGAGCAAACCTCCTAAAGTGGGAAGCGTCTGTTGGAAAAAGAGAATGTTAGGCTGCAGCACCAAACAGCTGGGATGGCAAAGGGCATGGACAGGGTGTTCACAAGGAATGTTACCTTGCAGCAGTCATACTTAACAACAACATACAAGGTACTTTGTTACGCTTTTGCACAAGTGGACTTTCCCGATGTTTTGGCTTTCATACTACATAATTCACACTCTACAAAGAATGTGTGGGATCATTTTAACACCAGATAACAACAGTAAAAAACCTGAAGACTTCATTCTTTTGAACAGCAAAAAGAAATACTTGATACCTGGAGAACTATTTTGATTTTATCTTTCAAGTCTTTGAATTCTCATCCAAATCAAGGAATCTTGTTTAAAAAGCCTTCCTCTGCTACAATTAACAAGGACTAACATCATTAGTCCTCAAAAAACAGCTTATATTCTTTCTTTATAGAAAGGTAGAATCTTTTCCTTTACACAAAACACTAACATTTAAAAATATCATATTAAGCCATTAGGGTAAAAACATGAATAGTTACTAAAGGCTTACTCAAGAGCTGCCTCTTTATAATTTAACTGCTGACATAGAATCCAGGGCAAATACAGCAAGAACTGCTTTTACTCACCTTGCCTTTTAATCAATAATTGAAAATATAATTTTTCTTGATTATCTCCTATACAAGATTATTTAAATCTATGCATTTCATAACATGAAAAAACAATTTACTTATACACTGTATAGAATTGCGAAGTCATTAATAAATGCTTAATACCGTTACAGTTTGCCAGGTGACAGCTTAAAACCCGAGATTACTTCTCTATGATAATTATTTTTAAAAAAATATTTTCAGATGAAATATATACCCTATATGGGTATGGGGCTGCATAACATGAGAAGTATATTTTTATGCTACTATACATAAACTAAAATAGTTATTTAAAAAGATATTATTCTAGAACTCCAAAACTTTATTGAAGATCAGACAGAATGCATGGAATACCACGTAAAGATATCCTCAAACGTTTGCAAGATGAAGGCCACGGAAATTTAATACCTGAATACCAAACTTATGCTCTGGGATTCTTTTTAAGGAACTTGAAGGATGGCTGCTACAGGATTCCTTAGAGATAATTTGTTTCATGACATGGGAATCTTTAAGGACATATAATTATAATAATAGATTATTAATAATATCAGATACTCCTAGACTGCAAGTTTTTAAACCTATATGGCATTCAAGACCCTGCTTATAAAATTCCCATTCCATGAAATTTCTGTCCATAATTATAAAATAACTAAAGAGAACTAAAGATTCAAAAATCCTGCAAACTAAAAATAAAAAATCA